CGAAGGGCCCGCTTGCCCCCCCCCCCCCCCCCCCCAAAAAAAAAAGCTACTGCGGGTCCTGCAAGTCGCCAACCCACCTCATGACCTAGCCGCCCATCGAAGTGAATTCTGTCTCGCTGAAAACCACCCCACCTATGCACCTCTCTGGTTATTTCCACCACCTCAAAGCCTTTCTCTCGACTCATCCCCCATATCTCTTGGTTTGCGTTGACAACCGCTCTTTGCAGGTTGCTATCACGCACCGGTAACTCCGGTATCATGCATATCACTACTTGTACCTTAGGAGAAGTGGCGCGCATGTCATCGACGCCTTTTGCCAGTGCGGATGCTAGTCCTGCTGTATCTTCATTTAAGACATCGTTTAAACCGCCTGAAATTATCACGAGGTTTCGTCTATCAGCTGTAGTTTTCAGATTTGCGCTCGCTTGCCTCATGACTGCTTCCAGCTTGCGTCCTGGGAACGCCCCTACTGCAAACCTCTTGTCACCTTTTACCCTCTCTTTGATGGCTTCTGTGCATCAATTTAAATTAGAGTCCCCAGCGATTATGACATGCTGTGACTTTTCAGCTGGAACGTCCTGCACCTGGGGGCTACTTGCACCTGTGACGCCGGCTGCTTTGTCCCCTCCCAGCCCCACCACTACCTCGCTGAAGCTGGGCCTTGCGACAGTTGAACCGGCTAAACCTGTTTTTTCCAAACTTGCTTGCTCTTCCTTCTCCACCGTTCTGGTTGCCGGTTCCCTACTGTTCTCTCCGTAGGCCGCTTCTTTGTTCAGCTTCGCTAGTGCTTCCTCGACGGACTTCAGTCTTTCTCCCATTGGCCTCGTTTTCTCTTGCTCTGTCGCCAACGCAGTCTCGAGCTTGGCAATTCTTATCAGCAGTTCACTCTGGGCAACCATCATTTTCTTCATTTTTTCCTCGACCTCACATTGCCTACACTTCGCGTCAGCCTCTTCTCCGAGGCGGCTGTGTTGGTGAGCGCCATCTCTTGGATTTTTCTGCAACAAGAAGCACTCGGCCGGCTAGGCTTCTGGTGTGGTCCACGCGATGACGCTTTGCACAAACACGCAAACACGGTGTGCGCTTGCTTTGCTTTCTTTGTTCCTTTGGCGCCGTGCATAGGTGTTCTCTGGTTGATCCGTGCCGTACAGCTGTCGCGTCGTTTTTCACGTGTTGTGTATGTGTGCTTGTGCTGCTTCGTACTTGCGTCATGCCGAAGCTGGAACAAAAGCATCGAGTGCTGAAAATAAAGGAGAAATTGGACATAATTCGTGCTATTGAAAGTGGCACGAAAAAATCGGCGCTGGCACGCGAAAAGGACCTGCCGTTAACCACAGTGTGTGGAATTTGGAATTCCAGAGAGAAGTTGCTCAGCAGTGCTGCTGCAACTGCGAAAAGGTGCCGGCTACGCGGTTTGGCGTTTTCGGATGTAGAGGAGGTGCTGGTGAAGTGGCTAAAAGCTGCACGGTCAAAAAATCTGCCTATCAGCGAACCCCTACTCATGGAGAAGGCCCTGGTTTTTGCCTCACAGCTCAACCATGACAACTTCGTGTGCAGCAATGGCTGGCTGGCCAAATTTAAGGCGAGGCACGGCATTACCACGAAAACTGTTTCGGGAGAAGGTGCTGCTGCTGACGTGGATGGCGCGGAGCAGTGGCAAAATGGTCAGCCGAAGAACATCTTGGAAGACTACGCACCTGATGACATCTTTGATGTGGATGAATCGGCGCTATTTTTTAAGCTGCTACCAGAAAAAAACGCTTGCGTTCAAAAGCGAGACGTGCACTGGTGGCAAGCATGCAAAAGACAGAATATCAGTGGCATTTTGCGTAAACATGACTCGAACCGACAAAACTCCGCTCCTCGTGATTGGAAAGTCGGCGACGCCTAGATGTTTCAAAGGCGCCCGGTTGCCATCAGGGGTCATCTATCCCAGCAACACTAAAGCATGGATAACGGCAAAACTCTTTGAGGAGTACGTGCGCCTCATCGATCGTCGTTTTGCGGCTAAGAACAGAAGAGTTGTTATTATTTTAGATAACGCTTCGGCGCACGTCGCCCTGGACAACTTGACGACTGTGAAGTTGGCGTTTCTGCCACCTAACAAAACAGCGATTGCCCAGCCCTTGGACCAAGGCATCATTTGAGCTGTAAAACAGCTCTACAAGAAGAATCTGCTGCGCAGATTTCTTCTCGCCATAGAATGTGGCAAATTATTCTCCATCGACCTGATTGGCGCGATTCACCTGCTCAAATACTCGTGGCGGCAGGTTAAAGCAACGACAGTTCAAAATTGCTTAAAGCGCGCTGGCTTCAGTGTGTGTGCGGGCGACGCAGATGACGCAAGTGACACCATCGACCAGACTTCGGACACCGTAGACGAAGCTTGCAAAACTCTGCTAGCTGAAGTGGCAGGGCGTTACAGAAGGCATTTCCTTCCCCGACTTCAGAGACGCAGACAGCGATGTGCAGACATCTACAGACATGTCGGACGAAGCCATTGTTGCCTCGGTTGTCAAAGTGTGGCAAATTATTCTCCATCGACCTGATTGGCGCGATTCACCTGCTCAAATACTCGTGGCGGCAGGTTAAAGCAACGACAGTTCAAAATTGCTTAAAGCGTGCTGGCTTCAGTGTGTGTGCGGGCGACGCAGATGACGCAAGTGACACCATCGACCAGACTTCGGACACCGTAGACGAAGCTTGCAAAACTCTGCTAGCTGAAGTGGCAGGGCGTTACAGAAGGCATTTCCTTCCCCGACTTCAGAGACGCAGACAGCGATGTGCAGACATCTACAGACATGTCGGACGAAGCCATTGTTGCCTCGGTTGTCAAAGTGTCGCCAAATGATAGTGATGAGGACAACATGGGAAGCGACAACACGGGCGCTCCAGGTCTGACAGTGGCCGAAGCTGCGCACTGCGTCAGCGTCATGCGGGTATTTGCCGAGAAGAGGGGGCTGGTGGAAAAGCTGGCTCACAGCATGAGTGAGATTGAGGCCGCTGTCGTTGCTGCTAGGCTACCACGTTGTCAAATGAAGATTACAGACTTTGTCACGCGAAGTTTATAAATTACTGCACATTTTTTGTTCTTTCATCGCACTCCCTGAAAGTTTCTTTTTTTGACACGTAAGTGAGCAACGTGACGCTATTTCTGTTAAGCAGTACTACAGTTTAGTACGTACTTTTTCCAAGCTCCAGCCAACTACATTTTAACGAGGTTTCACTGTAGTTGGCTTTTAAAGGAGCACTGACATCAAATTTCAATATCGAGATGTGCCCATCATTCGATCGCTTGGTATGCATAGGTCTTCTTGGCCAAATATTAACGGCATTCGTCGCGTGCAAGTTATTTTAATTCTATGTCAAAAAGCGCAGAAAAGCTAAGGATAAAAAACGGAAAATAGACTGCTCTGCGACATCGACACTAGTGCTACATGTTCAGTGCGATACATTCTACAAATACCATCCTGAGTGACGATGCCCTAGTAGCGATGACGTGTACGATCCGAGTATTCTTACTGTGGCGCCGAATCGCAGAAACGCACTCGCTCGTCGCGTGTGATCTTCGTCGCACCGGGCTGAATGATTTCATGAAATTATCAAGATAAAAACTACCTTTAAAAGAACGGCAAAAGAAAGGAGCATGATTAAACATGTGCTTGTTGTCGGTCAGCATGTCAGGGAATCGTTGTGAGTTGCAGGTGAGTTGCAGTCGACTAGTTCTAACCACGGAAAAAGCGTAATGAGGGTCTTTTCATATCACGTATGTGTTGCACATCAACACGACCACAAGCTATCAAAAGTGGAACAGAATATAGTCAGATATCATCGCTAAGACGTATCACGCAGGTATCGTTGAATTTTAGTTCATCTGTTGACTTTGCATCCACGTAAAAGTGGTAATACCGTGTTAACCACGAGAGGCTGGATAGGTGGGGCCATCTGGAGGAGCAAAAAAGAAACTGGCAAACAGGAAACGTATTCTATTTCTCCGTCGATGCTCATTTGCGATAGCTATATTGCATTGACCTCTCTGCGTATACCTCAATGCTTTGCATGACAAAACACACCAATATAGCTAACTGAGACACACGAGTGAACATGGCTGAAGTGTGCATCCTCGGGCACCTCTGCAATGCTGCTTGAAACGGGGTCCATATCGGAACCACTGTTCTGAAAAAGGGTGATCCAAGCAAAAATATTTCGTGACGTCGCGAATCGCGGAGATTCCAAGCTCCAGACTATCATATTGTACCCGAGTCGACACTTTGTACGACGACAGCAATGCAGAAGACAAGGCATGACTAATGTGTCCGCCTAGCAGACGAAATGTTTGCGGAGCAGCTGAGTCTGACGTCACTCTTTTCTATGGAGAAGTGGTCGGCTGTGGCGTGATCTGGTGGTGACTGCGAGGTAGCGCCACTGCTGGTACTCCCAGCGCTAAAAATGGCGGGATTGCCGGCCGTTTTGTATAGTGCTAAATACCAGTGATATAAATCAATAAAAGTGATAGTTATTCATCCCTCAGTTGCGTTTTAGGTCGCGAATCACTGCTACGGGGTCTATAGCTACTCGCTGACGCAAAAATCTTGGCATGAGTAAATTTGATGTCAGTGCTCCTTTAAAAAAACGTGCCAATATACCTGTTTTTTTTTGGGGGGGGGGGGGACTAAATGTGTAAAGTTATTTATTTTTCTACGAATCCAAGACACAAATGTTGTAACATGGTTAAGCGTGGCCATCTAGCATCAAGAAACACAAGCATAACTAGCATAGTCATCACTGGTTCCATGTGGGGCCAATTTTTACTGAGCATAGTTGTCATCAATCATGTTTTTAAAAAAACATCATGACTCTACTCGTCAATGGTAGCTAAAAGGCTAAAATCAGCATTTTTTTGGCTTCAAGCCAGCTCTATGAGTAGAATGATAGTTTTACAAAAAGCAAGTTGAAATACCATTCAAACTAAAGCAGTAATATTACACCACCAGACTTACTTGTGTGTGAGGACCATCTGCCTCAACACGTTCGCAGCCTGGACTTTGTTACCATTGTGAGGGGAGATGACGGCATGCTGAAGAAGACTGCCTGCACAGAGCCATAAATGGTCATCACTAATGCAGCTAACAGGGAATCGGATCGCCTGAGAGTACACAAAGAAGCCTATGATGTGCGGCAAATTACTAGCAAGGTTTCCTGGTGAGAGAACAAAGAAGTGGCGAAGATGACAGACCACAATTCCTGCTTCCCGAGATGACCCCACCGTTTTTCTGCAGATTCCATACTTAAAACGCAAGGCACACTGTTCACAGTGGCACTTGACCGAAAGAAAAAAAACACCTACAGAGATTTCATCACTTACACATCTGGGAAATACGTAAACTGATGCTATGTGACAATGTTCGCTGCAGACAGTTCAGTAAACAGGTGTAACCTGTCTCATTTCTATGTCTCATTGCATCTTTTTGATTTGTTTCCACAATAACCTTTCTTATTAATGCTGACCCTGGTGCTTTACTCTTTTACTTAGTTTATGCATTATGTGTATCGTGCGCTTATGTTTCACCACGGTAAAGCTGTGGTCCGGTTCTCCTCAAGCTGCTCAATGCAGCTCTTTTTTTTCCTGTTCAGTCTCGCAACCTTGTTGTCAATAAACTCAATCCAAATTAAAAATTTCTAAAGAAGCTAGCGAGAGAGGCAGCCTTCTGAAGATGGCACCGATGTTGTGAAAAAAATTATTCCAACTACCTAGCTGCGCAAGCAAAATGACAGCCATGAAGAAGTCTTGGAAACCTGATGCCTGTAACCAGGAAAACATATTCAAGAATTTTGTGTACTGAATGTAAGCCCATTAGTGACATCTATAACTTCTTCAGTCAGATAGCAGTAACAAAACGATTATAAATTTCTTAAAATTATTGCTGAAGCAATTCTGCGAAAAAAAAATAAAATCACAGTTACTATATATCATTGATGTAGAATCAAACTAAAGTTGTTCAGGCCTGTGCGAGTATAACTTTCTTGAAATGGAGCTAATGGCAATTATTAAGGAATGAATTAAAAAAAATCAAATTCTGATAGTAGCAGGATGTGTATAGTGATAGGCTACACGTTATACAGCTAAACCTGCAATAACGAACCTCCATGAAAGAAATTCCTCAATATAAGAAAGTTTTTCTATTTCTTGTCATTGCTCCATAGAAGCACATATATGTATTTGCGACCTCCATTACAGTGGGAGACAACCTTGATATATAGAATTTTCGCACGGACAACCTAAGAATTTTACTCCGCATTTCGGTACGAGTACGGATCTTCCCCGACTGCCCCACCGTTGACGAAGCGGCGGAAGCACGCACGGCGCACAGACGAGAGCGCTCGCTTGTTATTGGGCGCAGATGGGTGAGTGTGAGGCGGGCAGACTGGCCCGTCTCACACTCACCCCTACTTACTCCCCCCCGACTTACTCCAAACAAACAAACAAACAAACAAACAAAAAACTACTTTTGCACATTGGCAGTGCCACGCCTTTAGTTAGCATCCAATATGCGGGGCCACGCTGCACATGGAGAGTGGTTTACCAGACAGCTTTCTGTAGTATCTGTGTTCATGTCGTTTGCTCTTCATTTTCGACGCCGTGCGCGCGTGCATAGTTTCACTGTACGCGCATGGTGCAGCCCCCGACTACATTCAGCTTTGCTCTTCTTATTATTGTGATAGCAATTATATGGACAGTGTGTATATATATATATATATATATATATATATATATATATATATATATATATATATATATATATATATATATATATATATATATATATATATATATATATATATATATATATATATATATATGAAAACTTGAAGGGTCACTCACCAGGCCCCATACCGAATTTTAGTTAGACAGTGGAAGTTGTTGGGTGTCCAATGAGGAACATTTTGCCACAAAAATTTGTCGGATCGGTTCATTACGAGCGAAGAAAACAGATTTTTTGAAGGGGCGCGAAATGAGGGTGAGAAGAGGTGAGCTCGAAACTTTTGCCGCTCCTCCGCGTAGCCTTAGCAAGCCAAATCTCTTACCCACCCTCTCTGGCCTCTGACCAAGAGGTGACGTGCGCATGACGTGCCTGAAGAAGCCCAGCCCCCGTGCACGCAAGCGGCGTTGCTTTGTTGACCAGCGTTATTTTGTGGTCTTCTGCCTGTTTCTGCGGGATTGTTCGGAAACGCTGGCTTAGATGCGGTAGAGTAGATGAGCACAATGAGTGCGCGAACGCGTAGGAGCGTTCCACAGCGGTTGTCTGCTCAATGCTCTGACCGCGGGGACCCGAATGCATGCAAAACGCTGGCACATTAGCCCCGCATGTTGTAGCATTTCACGGGAAAAAATGTACGAAAAACGCGCACAATTTTTTACTGCGCCTCATTATTTATTTCAAGTTTTATTAATCTCTTAAGGCTACCAATACATAAACTACGCATGTTGTGTTTAATTTTTGCCATGTCACGCGGTATACTGTTGACAACGTCAGAGCAGAGTCGTCTACGTAGAAGACCAAAGTCACCGCATTGCCATGTACGTAGGGCCATTCCTACGCCCACGTCATGCCCTCATTCTCTACGCATGCGCCAGCAGAGGGGAGGGGGAGCAGCTTTCATCTTGAAGTTTGACCCATTTCCACAGCGCGTAGCGTTGCAAATTTCGGCAGACATGATCATGAACACCTCGTCTACGCATTGCGCTTGTCAGCTCAAAATTGTCAAACCTGGTGAGTGGCCCTTTAAAAAAGAAGAAAAAAAAAAAGCCGCCCGCGCACGGCGCCCAGCTCGTCATGACGCGCCGACTCGCGTTTATCTCCTACGTGTACTTTGCCCCACAAATGGAGGGGGATGAAGGGGGGCGTAGATGCTTATGTGCACGCGCTTAACCTTTGGTGGAGAGAATCGCGGACCTTCGACTTTGACCGGAACGATTGTGTTTAGTTGCCAGGCGCACAAAGATCACTCGCAGGACAGCCGCCGTATGCCAAAAGAGTGCGCTTTTCAAACCTGTGATTACGTTTTGTGCCTCATTTTTGTTTAAACAGTGCGTTAAGTGTCGAGCAGTAAACGTTGTTAGTTAGCTATCTTCCTGTGTGTTGTTTTCGTGCGTCATATATGTGTGAGCAGCGCGCTGCACGTTTCGATCTTCTTACCGTTCTCAGCGTTAATTCCAAGTTGTTGCTATCGCATTCATTGCTTCACCCTTGTGGCGAAACTGTAAATTTTCTTAATTTCTGACAACCGTGTCGTCACCACCGAGGGGATTTCAGATTAGGCACTGATGGAAATTCTCCGAGACCATGTTGACAACGAATGTTCGGAGATCGACTCGTCACGCGCTTCTGTGTTGCGCCGCACCACGATTTCGCAGGCTGGTAGCTTTCGCAATTAGCCGATTAGTTCTGGCAACAACACGACGGCGCATTGAATGGAATGCAATGAACACGATAGCGAAAAATTATAATGTTTTAAGAAGTAAGGCTGGCAGCAACTCTTTTTGATTCGATATCGCAGAACTCTTACAAAACACTGGTGTGAGCAAATACGGCCGCTCCAGGGAGAAGTGCTCTTTTCACGCAGTCTCTTCGCGTTGAAAACGCATTGATACTCGGCAAGATAGCAAGCGCACCAGCGATCGCGACCGCCTTTAAAATCCAACTTGATTATTACTACTCAATCGATTCCCCTCCCCCCTCCCCGCATTGTTTCATGCTCGTTCAAGACGGGTGGTTGGTGGTTTACTTTCACTTTGAGCCCTCAACGGCAGTTCTAACACGCGGGAGATATTATCTTATGCCCTTTCCAGGCAATAGAGATGGGCCGACTCAGTTGATCTCTGCTTCAGCAGCGCTCGTGCGCTTTTATCCATGAAAGTTATGATGTGCGGGGGGCATGTTATCAATTTGGACTTGTTAAGAAAAATGGCACCGACGTCAAAAACCCGCAGAGAGCATCCATATATATGCTATTGCAAAAATTACGCAGTTTTTTACTGTAAAATGAGTGTTTTGGGTTAGCTCTTCCTTCAGTACCCCTTTTGTTTAATTTGCACGTTTCTTTTCCGATTTTCATACCGAAACTGCATATAATAAAATCTTCTTTATAATAAATTTTCCCGGAAGTAACTCAATTTTCTTATATCTAGGTTTAACTGTATGCTTTAAAATACACTATGGTTTAAAACTTGTCCTACTTAGCCCACATAGCGTGCTTTCAATTTATAGAAAAACTTAATCATTGCAGGTAGCATGATCACTTAACGATGACTTGTAGCTTTGGGACAGTGCAGTTTCCCCTGAATCTGCAGCTGCACAGCATAGCTTCTGCACAGTGTAGTGAGGCAATCTTCTCAGGCTCTTCAAACGTAAAGAAGTCACAGGGTTTCTTAACCCCTTAACTGCTCTGCTTGTCCTGCTGAAACTGTTACCAAACTCCTTTAGACGAGTAGAATTCATTTCAGCAGAAAGGGTACTCCCCTCTGGCATTCAGGCGGAGAAGCGCGCAATTATAGGTTACATTGCATGTCATCCACCAGATAGCAGCTTTTTCTCGAGAATTCAAATTTCTCCTGAAGCAGAAGGTTAGTTTTCGTATGGAAAGACGGCACGCTGTGGCAGTGACCTATGCATAGCTGGCCCACGAACATGAAAAAGAAGCTATTTGTTTTCGTCATCTTTTTCCGAGTGATGATGATTCGAGTACAGATATTTATCTTCTGTCCGGAAAGTGAAGACAGCGATGACGGTGAATGAGTAGCTCCTCTGATGATCATGCAATAACGCAACGCGAACACTGCGAGTGCCCGTCAGTGAAACCACGTTGCATTATTGCTTGTTTTGAAATTTCTCGCACAACCTTGAAGCTTCCCAAGTGAAATGCCGCAAGAGTGCCTTTCCTACACAAGTGAAGAAAGATGTGGCATTTGTAACTGTTTTGTTTATAAGGTTCCTTATATCATTAGCAGCAGTTGGATGGTTTCGTATGTATTGTTCAGAAACAATATTTATTCCATTGATTTGACTAAGGATGTGGTGGAAACATGTTTTCAACATCGACAAGCTACTTTTTAGTACAATCGGAATCGAAATCAGCAATAAATAAAATAGGCACTTTTTGACCGGGAACTTTATGAAAAAGAAAAGAGCAATTAAGGGGTTGAAGCCCAAACACATTTGCGGAACCATGTGCGCCGCCGCGGGACAAATGCTGCTGTGGCAGTACAGTCACACCAGCTCGTAGCAAATTAATTCTTTTTGTATTGCTGCATGAATGGTACAAAGGATGACATTGTTCTATAGAAGGTGGATGAAGAATTAAAGAGCACTTAAGACGGAACGCGATGACACAGACACGACGCTGCACTAACAAGCACAGCGTAATGAGCAACACACATGCGGGATAAGTGAAGTTTTCCACATTCGCGGCATAGTGTTTCTTGTGTAAGCATGCCCACAACTTTCCTTCACTACGATGAAGTTCGATATCCAGGTGCTACTAGCATGACAGCTTCATGCTAGAGCTCACTAGCATCGTTGTAAGGCCTTTATCACAAGTTATGTGCCTTTCTGCTTATGTTCTTTTGTTTGTATTAAACGTATATAAGAAAAGGTCCGTACCAAAGCATGGCACTGGCTACTCCTGTGCTCTTGCCAAACAGTTGTCATGGCATATCAAAAAACTAACACAAGCACATAGTACAACACTCGCACACTGACTCGGAGTTCTTCAATACAAAAATCTGCCAATGCAACACAGAAGTTGAAAAAACGTAAGTCCTCCCGGAATTCAAATGTTCGTAGAAAGCATCAAAGTTCAATAAAACGTTGTTAATGGTGTTCATGTCTATTCAGAATAGTGTCTTAAGTGCTACGCCGTAACTGCAACAATCAGGATTTCACAAAGAATTCTTCACCAAAATGAAATGACAAAAATATTTAGTAAAGTATGTCTGTTAAAAATAACACGAACACATTTTTTTTATTTAGTACTTTAGTGGTGCAGTCTAATTGCGCTACAACAAAAGCCGCTTCAACGAAGTTTCTGCTACAACGAAAAATTATCGTTTCCCTGTCAGAAGTCCATAGGAGTCAATGCATAAATATTCTCACCACAACAAACACTTTCCCTTCTGCCGTTCCGCTACAACATAATCAGATGCGTTTCCAGGCTCAGATATTTAATGCCATGCAGTGAACACATTCTTGAACATTTTGATTCTCTTTCAGAACATAAAAATATGTCTACGAAGTCTAAAACAAGCTTTGGCCCCACCAGAAACAGCCGCGGTCATCTAAACATGGAGGCCGTCATTCATCGATAGTGATGAAAATGTGACTGCTCTGCTTTTGCTTTGGCTTGCTTTTGGGCCGGAAACAATTCGAAGTTCAAGCTAAGTTTCGACTATAAGAGTGCTGCTGGGTGCAATCGTGGAAAAATGCGTATTCAGATGCCAGTGCTTTTAATTATTTTTGCGCTTGGCCAGTGTGGTCTCCGGTCAGGCTGGTGGTTCATCTGCGTTATCAACAAGATAGGCCAGCTGCTACTAGTGGATGATAAGAATAGTATAGAGTAAGGCATAAGTCACTGCTCTACATACCACGCCTGCACCTCGGCATTGTGGGATACCTTTTGATGGCAGACAGCTACTGGTGCTAACGTGTTTGTGCAGCAGTCAGGTTTGTTCACAAAAACTGTTGCAACCGTGCCTTTCAACATTTTGTCATTATGCATGTGTGAAAACCGCATCTAGACGCGGCTGGGTGCTGGGAAAAAAAAAGGAAGCACCGCTTCTCAAATTTCGGAAACAAATGTTCCACTGTTTTGCTGGCTCAGGTCCGCCATATTTTTATACGATTTCACCACAACAAAATTTTACCTTAGACAGAATTTGTTCCGTGCCCCATCACTTTCGTTGTAACAGGGTTCGACTGTACTTTCGATTTCTTGAAAAATTGTAAGACTGCACTCGCAGCTGTGCTTGCTAATTTTGAAGCTGTAAGCTGTTTTGCAATAAACATCGGCTGATACTTCAGTGCCGTGCCTGTGTCTTCATCTTGTCCCACCTTAAGCACCGTTTGATTATCTGTCATACACCAACCAGTTCGATCAAGCACATTGTTCTCCATGGTGCATCTTTGGGGGTGATCATTAATTTGCAGCAACCTCGAGGGTATTATGCTATCCCCTAAAAACTCCGAGCAAGCCGAACCAGTGCTAGACAAGGCTCTCCATCAATGAGCGTCCGGCCGGGTTCCCTGGCTATGCCGAGCGCGTACGCCCCCAAAGGGGCAAAGGAGCAGCTCCGATTACCCTCGTCGGGAAGCAAAGTCCAACGTGCCTTGACAAACGGCACGTGAACCAACTCCTCTTGTGTTCCAAAAGCACTGTCACACGACAGCTTTGGAGGCTCCCGTTTTGCTGCCGCTGGTGCGGGCACACGCATTTTCCGGATAGTGTGTGTGGGCCATTATGCAGTGACCTAAGACTAGGTTGTGCAAGTAGTGAATTTTAGCTGGAAAGTGCATTCAAAGGAAATAGTGATATCGGCCGAATAATTTCTAATCGCTGACGGGATTGATAGTATTGTTAAATAAATAAATAAATAAAATCGAATACGAGTAGTATATATCATATATTATAAAGAAAAATGGACATATCTGTCATGAGACAACTAACCTGCACAATATTTTTCTAAAATTGAAACAAGGCCTGCACAAATGACGTTCCTTTTGATTCAAAGAAAGTGGGGAAAAATTTAATTAGTAGCAGGATATGACTTTAGGCTGAATGCAAGTGATAATCGGTAAATTATCTTATGTTTAAAAGTTTACAATATTTATAGCAGGCAAGCTGGTATAAGAGGCTTTTAAACTTACAAAATGATGAATCAATGCGAGGGTAATCTGTTCATTTAACTTTAAAGTGGGGCTTCATAAAACGCAAATTGCCCCTGATCAAGTGTTTTCACGGTTCAGCGCTCTTTCACAGACCACCTTCACAGGGGATAACATGCGGACTGATGTACATCTATTCGAATACTATCCGAATTTCCAATAACTTCAATTCTAATTGAAGTGAATTTGTATACAGTAATTCAAATATTTAAATATTGACACAAGCCTACCTAGTATGACTAAAGAGCAAAAGCCCTCTTTCTTTTCTTGTCATTCCACGTATTGATCTTCAAAAGCTTCCTGCTCTTACAGTGGTTTTCCACTGCTTCAGGATAAAATGAAGTTTTCCGTGCGTCACCTAATTATGCACCACTTCTATGATCAGCCTGGCTTCAACAACATCCCGCAATGACATCATCGTGACAGCACAAATTTTGGTAATCCACTATATCACGCTCATGTCATAAGATGAAGTCACCATGTGACGTCATCACATGATGACTTTTTGCATCACCTGTGCTGATGCTTCTGACGCTAACGGTCAATTTTTTGCATTTGATGAGCCATCAAAGGCTTTTTGCCTTAATGTTTATTAATGATATAAGAGATTTTACATTCCAAAATTTTGACATGACAATGAGATATGCGGTTGTGAACAGCTTCGGAAATTTCGACCCTCCGGTGTTCTTTATCATGACATGGCACAGTACGTAGGCCTCAACCATTTTGTCCCCCTCAAAATGTGACCGCCATGGCCAGCATCAAAACTGCATCTTCGGGTCAGCAGCCAAGCACCGTGACCGCTGTTTTGCCTAGGCGGACTGCCCTAATGTGTACTTGTTTGTTTTCGAAAATTGTAAATTTGGGTTAAAGGAAATACAAATACAGTAGACTCTCATAAAATGGAATGTGAAGGTACCAGTGAAACATGTTTCGTTTAAAAGGAGTTCTGCTTAGCGAGAGACAACCGGAAGTGCGGAATGCAAGAATAAAACTAATCTTGTCAGGAGCACTTGTTCCATTTAGGTAGCCCTTACGTATAACACATTTTTGTTGACTAGGAGTCTACTGTGCTGCAATATTTGTCCAAACATGCCCAATGCTCAAATAAAAATGAAAACCAAGTTCAATATTAAAAGGGGTATGCAGCATTATTTTTGACATAAAAAAGTACGCCAACCTTGTTACGGCTCTTATAAACTCGTGAGCCGTACGTTAATATACAGAGCAGAATAACAAACTTAGCAAACTTTTGCATAAGCCTGCCAGTAGTGTTACTAGGTTCCGGGGTGCACGACGACTAACACGTCAAGAATCACTGCCCCGAGAACAATGCGCTGAATGTAAGCTCAGTTGTGAAAGTGCATACAGAGAAGAGGACCCACCATTGGCCGAGACTGCAGCCAGCTTGCAGCCGTGCTTGAACCCAGGGTCGATGCCCAACACCGCATGACCCCTGACCGGAGGCATGAGCAGCAGCTGCCGGAGGTTAGAACGAAACACGCTCACAGACTCTTTCTCGGCTTCCTTGGTGAGCTGGGACCTGCGCAGAGGAGGGTGCAGATAATGCCAAACTAATCGGACAATTTATAGCAATTGTCAGTGTTTTACGTTACAAAAGCACAATATGATTATGAGGGCCCTGTATTGGAGGGCTACGGAAATTACAACATGCTGGTGTTCTCAATGTGCACCCAAATCCACAAAGGTAGGCGAAAAATTGAAGCTTGCTCGGACTTCCTCACGATGTATAATTTCGCTCTGAGGGCTCACTTGAACTCAAACTCACCACAATTCTTGTCAATAAGACTGATCCAGACTCATTTCTCAACTGGACTAACTCAAACGCAGACTAGCAGCTTGACCTCAGCTTGAGTGAGCCTAGTCAGTCGACTCACGAGTCCGTTAACTTGAAATTTCTTTTTTTGATTATGATGTCAATGTTATTTAATGCTAGTATCTCAGATAGCAGATTTACACGAATGTAAAGAGAGTCTTCATCAAATTTTTTTTTTTACCTGAAGTCAACCCTTGCATTACCATCCAACAGTCAAATTCAAGCTGTCTTAAAAGTACAATGATGCACCCAGCTCAACAGAATTGCAGTTTTAGCCATTTTACTATTTACATCGGCAACATGTGCCAGCCAAATGCCATTCGAATCCAGTACAAGCCAATAACAATTCTCCGCGATGGTGGTCACTTCGTGATGGTTGTGTTGTCGTACACAGGGGCCTTGACGGCTTTGATTGCCCTTGAATGTTACAGCTTACCTTCAACTACCTTTACAATGAGAACGTGTCGTGCTCGACACGGCACCCATTTCAAGAGGCGTGCTATTTTTGACAGTTGCTGCTGCCTGATGTCTCGCAGCACAGCTGCACAGACGTGTGCTGCTAGACGCATTCACAGATGCACGCCGACGCATGGACAGATACATGCCGCCTGTGGGGGTGAAAATATTCCTACTGACTGCTAGGCAGAAATCGTGAGGGAGAGCACGGAAGCCAGAGTGGTTAAGTATGGAGCACGTCTTTTTGAAGATACAACTCCCACAATTCAAATAACCAGAGGAAGTTTGCCGTCTGATTCAAGCATTGACGGCAAGTAGTTTTCCCCACCTTATGCTGCGGAAAAGGTGGGGCTCCAGCAATCGCGTGTAGGCGTCCTCAATGGAGTCCCGCACCAGCTGCATCGTCTGGCCCTGCATTTTCACGCCCATGTTGCGCAGGCACGACTCGCAGAAGTTCTTGAGCCCCGGTTCCAACTGCGGTGGCAGCACCAGCTTCACTGTCAGCACCTTATGGGACTCTCCACGGTTGATGGCCAGTACCTGGCACACGGGGGGAACAGAACAACTCAATTATTCGAATAGCATAAATGTTCTTAACTGGCTCACTGAATTTCGTTGTTATTTAAAGAGACACTAAAAGGAAAGACAATTTTTTTTTTATTATGGCATCTTCGGTTGGAATTTTTCGTGAACCCCTGCTGCCCCATACGTTTGTACAGGCAGCACGCATGCGGTGCTGCACGTTCAACTGGGCTGTCCACGACACGAGTGCGTGCCACCGTGGAGATTGACAGTAGAGCGTGGTGCCATCCGCGCGCACTGGCAGACAACGCGGCAAGTTTCCATCAGTGCAGGTATAACTTAGAGCTAGGTCTGGTGGAGAACGTGGCCAGACGGGAGGAAAAACGAGCATAAGCTTTACATTGTCTGACCGTGCTCGCACAGGGCTACTTTTGCTGCCAGGATTTCACTGGAAGCTGAAGGCAATGCGAAAATCGGCATGACCTTTGTCGAGTTGATACAAAACTGATTCAGCACAACCACCTGGAGAGCAAACATGCACCCACTGGACACGTAGCATCTCGCAAGCGTCTCTCATTGTTTTGTTTTCTGTCCTTTGGGCTCCTATTGCCAGTACAAACACAATGCTGGAAATTGCCGTCTGCTGAACAGCGATCTCTCGAAGGCGCCGTTGCTGACAGGGATTCGAGTTTTGTGGTTCACACGTTCGTGTGGCACGTAGCGGGCTGTGAAAACCTCGCGGTGTTTGACGTAACTTCCTTCCATGATCACGGTGCCAGTGCAACTCAGCCAAAGATGCCATTAGTAAATTATCCTGTTGCTATACTAAAACATTACGCTTGTGGCAAGAAGACGTTTGGCAAGCGAGAAAACACAAAAAAAAGCTTACGAGAGCGTCAATGCTGTGATACCTGAGGAAGTGTGTCGCAGGGGCGCCTAGTGTTTCACTGTCCTAGACTTCCCATTGTACTGTTTACCAAAGCGTAAATGACGCCAATGTTTGAGGTAAGCATGCAGGGTTTCTCAGGCACAAGTATAATCTTGCCAGGCAGATTCGCATACTCATTATGTGACATGTGCACTACCTTTTTGCTGTTCTCAGGGGTGAGACCGCTGAATCTAAATTGGGAGCAGTTTTCAGAGTAGCACAATTTCAATTTTGGAGCAGAAGAACCTTGCTTTGGAGCAGTTAGTGGCATTTAATATGTCGTTCTGGGAGCCTGAAAAGACAAAATGTTTAGCAACGGGGAGGCACCAGTGCACATTTCAATGGGCTAAAAATACACATAATACTGAAACAGATATCGCAGGAAGTTTTTGAACAGATTATCGCTAGGTATGAACTGTACTTCCTTTTTACATAACCCGTGACCTATCAAGCCCTCATAACAAACATGTTTAGAAAAATTTATATGTTTGAAAATAATTAAAAAAGGTTTTGTTGAAAACTAGGTTCCCAGGAAACATTCAAAAAGCACAATGTATCACACTCAAAAAGAAATGAAATAATTGTGATCGCACAAGAATCGTTAGTTACGTACCAGTGGGCCTTTGCTTAAGAAAAGCCTAACATGATAGCCTTGCCGCATCAATTATCTTGTAAAGCGCATGTGTATGGCACTGTACTCAGGGACAACTTTCTGTGGCAATGAAGAAAAGGCTACGTGGGCGGAGCTGTTGCTCCTGTACTCCTCCGCGAAGGAGTCCGGTTTGGTTCGCGTTTCGACTAACAGCCGCATTCATGTAATCCCAAAGCACACAATTTGATACGCCTGCTTACAAAGCCATTTGTGAGAGAAATATGACACAAGCTCTTTTGGCAGCAAGTCGTCGGAATAGCTGGAGGGCGACGCATGCTCACCTAAACACGAAAACGCCATTTTGACTGTGGGGTGCACGTAAACCATAAGACGTTTTCAGACGAGCAAAAACGTGAAGTGACTCTTCCGAAATCAACAACAAATAATGGTATCTCCTCAGCGCATGCAGCATCTCCTTATAAACAGCATCTAGTAAATAATAATGTTGTTCTTTTTCATCACTTTCACGAGAAACACATGGAGGCATTCAAGGCACTATATTCTACAGTGGTGGCACATGCCCAATTTGGCTCCGTAGCCTTCCCTTTATTGCCATAGAAAATTGTCCCTGAGTATAAATGATACTAAGTGAACAGTACTGATAATGCCTCTCCACGCAAACAACCACGCATAATTATTACCGCTTACGTTGGCCTGTTCTATTCTCTTTAATATCTTAGGATATAACCATCACTGTAGCACTCCCGATAACACATCGACTTGAGACTGCAGCCCGCCCGCTCCGCGACTCGTGCTGCGCAGCTAAGAAATGCGTATCCATGCACACGAACCGCTCAAGAAACAGCGGCCAGTTTTATTGCAAAAAAAAAAGATAAGAATAGAAAGAAAACGAAGTAGAAAGAAACACACACAGCCTAGATACTAGAAGCAGCACGCTTAATGCACGGCAGCACATTTTTGTGGGGTCACATATATTTACAACCAGTTAGAGGAAATTATGGCGGAACCATGAAAGCCTTCGTCACCAGAAAAGCGCAAAGTAAAAATATACGCGCTTGGTTGTGTCTCATTGGTCAATTCGACCTTTTTTCCCGTTGCATCGAAATTCTAGCTTTCGAGGCTGTTCTGGAGCACCTTGGCGCAAGAAAATGGAAATGTATCAAAAATGCGCAAAATGTGCAGCTGTCTCACTCCTGTGTACTTTATCGATTACCACCAGGCCATTCACCGAGGCAGTCACGTAGCGATGCAGCCTCGTGCCAGCACAACACTGACGCAGAGGTGATGCAGAGGGAGGAGGATTTGCTCACCAGCAAGGCAGTGGCACTTTCTCTCGCACCCCGCTGCAGTCAGCCTTACGCTGGGAAACATTTTAGCAATTTTAAGTTAATTAATGCTGTTACTTTGTGGCTTTTCTCTGTCAATTCTATTATTTCAGACCTTGCTGATAGCCCTGTCATAGTGCTGATAGCCCTGTGCTGATAGCCCTGTCATAGCCCACGGCGAGCGCTTTACAGTGAGCGTGGTCATGAGATGCATGGATGGACAACAAGCCGGACCTTTAAGGTGCTAAAAGAAATCAACACCAGCTTAAAGTTACCGCACCAGTTAAGTGACATAATTTTGACCGCATATACGAGGACCCATGTAGCTCCTTATTAGAAAAATTATTCGCCTTGGAGCCACACACTAAACTTAGCAAGTTCCGGGCAATTTTTCTGAGCCAATGCAGCTCAGATATGACAAAAAAAATTTTGACAGTCACGACGTCATCATCGTGAATCTGGCAGAAAACTTGAAAGTGAAACTTTTGACATTGAAACAGTGTTCCTCCCAGGAACACTGTTTAATGCAATGCCTAAATGTTGTCTAAAATACCTAGTACTGTAATGCCCTTCATTACTTTTACCGAAGCCTCGGAAAACTCTCTCATGGCACGGTAGCAGTGTATGGTGACTCTCCTGAGGGGTGTACTGCAACTATATTGGGATCATATCAGCTACTGACACAACAACGCAGTGGTTGTCTGACCGGTTCATCTTTTCCCTATGTGGCTGTACACATCCGTACTGCAATCTGCTAATGAGCAAAAGATGGCACTGTCTCCTAAAAATGTGATACCAGTCACCTCATAGCACTAATCATGAATCACTAGCTTTGTACAGTGCACCACCTGCTAAGGTAATTTTATCCCAATAAAAGTGCAATGCAGTCGTGTGGGAAGCGGTCAACCTTTAATAAAATAATGGTAGCATTAAATTCAAAGCCTTGCTTAGGAAACAAAAAATCCCACTAGAAAACCTATCCACTGTGCATACCACCAACACCAGGTGTTCTCTGCACGATAAAATGTTGCTGACCCATACCTGGTGAGGTTGCACCGCCCGTACGTCCTTGGAGAATTTGGCGTAAAGGTCGTATTTCTTGTCACAGATTTCGGGTGTGCCGTCGACGGCAGCTCGCCGCTCAAGCTTGGCTGCCGAGGCACTTTTGGTGGCCGTCAGAAGGATGCCAGGAGACTTGGCCCTGGTTTCACGAACACCGCCCAAAAGATGGCAATGAAAAAGAAAAAAAGGGAACAATAATACTCCTTCATCACTTGCTGGCTCAGCCAATTAGTGCTGGTACTAGGCTTGTGCGAATAGAGAAGTTAAGGTTCGAAGTTCAAAGCAAATAGTAATTTTGGTCGAATAATTTTGAATCGAATTCAAATACTATATATGACACATAAAAAAAATCAACATATTTATGACTAACCTGCACAATATTTTTTAAAAGTTTAAATAAAGCCTCTATGCTAATGCCCTTTTTTTTATCAAATAAAGTCAAAACAACTTTGAGTAGTAGGAGGATTTGACTTTCAGTAGGATGCAAGTCATAACCTGTAAAATATGTAGCATTTAAAAATTTATTATGCTTAGTATCAAGCCGGCATAACAAGCTTATAGGTTTACAATATTTATGAATCGATTTGAGGGTAATATGTTCATTTACCAGGGTTCTGCAACACTTTTTTAAGTAGCCACGAAATTAATTCACCAAAGTAGCTTATTGTCTCACGAATTCATCACCGCAAACATTTATAGAATACGTCCAGTACGAGCAGAGTTGCAAAGATTTGTCGCTCACTTCAAGTGCATTTTCTCTTGTTTTGTCCCAACGAAAGCGCTGGAAGCTAAGCAGGAAGAAATGGCATGGTCAAAAAAAACAAGTCACGTGTGCCTCGTGACCTTTAGCACTTTTTCTCTCTTTTTTTTCTTCAAACACGCGGATTTTCAGTGCATTGCGCATGTGCGCGTGAACAAGTCGCAGCCTCCCGCGGCGGCCCCAGTAACGACCGAGCATGCCATGCTCAAGTGAGCCAATGGCTGTGATGAGCGATTTTTCAGCTTCATCCATCATTTGCCGAGAGAAGAGAAAGAAATTTTTAGCTGACTTTGATAATTTACTGTCGATTCCAGGCCATGTGCTGCACTATGACATTTCCCTCACGTGTTCTCGGTAGCCTCAACTACCGATTGGCAGCGTTTTCTGGCCAGGCTCAAAAAGTGTTGTAGGGCCCCTCTAAATTTGTAGTTGGGCTTCAAAACAGAACAAATTTTCCCTGGATACGTGCTTTCACAGCTTAGCACCTCTATACCGAAGCGAAGCCACCTTTACAAGCAGTTACGTGCAGGTTATTGCACATTTATTCGTTCATTGCGAATACTTCAAAATTTTCAGTATTTGAAATTTAAATCGAAGCGAATTCGAATACTGTACTATTCGTTCGAATATCCGAAGCATTCGAAAATTCGCACAAGCCTAGCTGGTACTAACAGCAGATATTTTAGGTATGAATTAAGGAAAGATGCAATTCGAAAAAAAAAAAAAAAGACTAGGCCAACGAAACTTTCGCTGTATACATGGGCTTTTATGCTGATTTCAAATATGTAAGTAGTTTTATAGTAAGTGGCACAGTTTTCGTTTTGTCAGAATTCTCGGCACATACTACTTGCTTATTTTACGTTCTTGACAATTATGCCGGCAATATCAAGTTTTTAAGGAGATACTTGCACCCTACACATGTTGAGGAATATGTGGGCAAAATTTCATTCCATGTGGGCAAACTTCCTCCCGCTATCAGAAGTGGTAAAAGCACGATATCTAAACCGAAGAAGTTGCCCAAAACTGCATCTCGAAAAAAAAAAGGCATTTTAAAGGTGTAAGTTAAAGCTCATCTACACAAAAAAAGATCCGTGTTTTCAGATGATTTCTTCCAATATAAGAGCTACGCGATCATGGTTATTTTTAGCAAATGGCTTTAGTGAACTACTCATGCGAAATGCAATGGCAAGCAGCCAAGTGACAATTTCCAGGAGACTGTAGACAATGAGCTCTTTTTAATTTTTAGAAGCCACCTTCCACTCTTCAAAAGCAATTTTAACCTGCTTCAAGTTTAATTACAATCTTTAGTATTTTTGCTGTGAATGTAGAGAAACTAGATTGCAAACAAAAATAAAAACGGAAAAGATGTGATTTCGGAAGAAATGTGTTTTTTTACTCACATCTCCTCTTGAAAAGCCTGTTAATATTTATTCAAATTTTTTATGCTTTTCAGAATGTGCTTCATGCTATCGAGCTCGTTCTTGTAAAGATGCAATGCATTCAGAGTAGGGGCTTGAGCAAATAGCGAATTTCAGGTTCGAAGCAAATTCAAAGCGAATAGTAATTTTGGTCGAATAATTTCGAATCGAATTCGAATAAATTATGACAAAAAAAATGGGCATGTTTCTCATGACCTAACTAACCTGCACAATATTTTTTTAAACAAGGCCTCTATGCTTTCTTTATTTTTTTCCATTCAAAGGAAGTTGAAACAACTTTGAGAAAAAGCAGGATTTGACTTTCAGTCAGATGCAAGTGATAACCGGTAACATATTGCTACGTGCCAGTGCATGGAGAAGAAGAAGACAAAGCAGATAGACTAGTGCGACCTAATCTCTGTGGCTGGCGCTGCTCGCTTAACCGGCTATAAATACATCTGTGACTACTCTTTCAAGTCGGTCCCCTTCTCGTAACATATTTGGTGGAGTTGTGCGATCCCCGTCCTCGTCACGGAACTCCGAAGTGGACACTCCCTTGCAGCTTTCAACATGACCACTCAAGACTCGGCTACATCCTCCCTGGTAGCCCACCCTTCTGCCCGGCCTGCCAACCCAGCGCCCACAACAACTTTCGTGACGCTTCCCGTCCTCAAAGACCTTTGCGTGTTCTCGGGCCGCGAGGGTTCCGACGTCAACCAGTGGCTACACCTCTACGAACGCATCAGTGCAACTTACAGGTAGGATCCCACACTTATGCTTGCGAATGTCATCTTTTATCTCAACGAAACCCCTCGTGTTTGGCTCGACAACCACCAGCATGACATTAAAAGCTGGGACAGCTTCAAGAAAAAGATCCGTGAGCTTTTTTGGAACCCGTTTGGTCGTCGTCAAGTTGCGAAAAATGAGTTGACTTGCGCACTAACTTCCACGGAGTCCTACATTAGTTACAATCAGGCTGTCCTCGCACTATGCCGCCAAGCTGGCGAAAACATGTCCGAGCCTGACAAAGTTGTGCATATTCTAAAGGGTATCGCCAACAATGCATTCAACTTGTTGGTATTCAACAATGTGTCATCTGTTGATGCCATTATTCAAAAATGCCGCCGGTTCCAACAAGCTAAAAGCAGGCACATCTCCCATCAGTTCCAGCATCTTCTAAACACCGCTCTGACGTCCTCGTGTCTTGACACATCATCCACTAGACACCTGTGACAACTTGACGCAACTCGTCAGGTGGGAACTTGAAGCGGCTGCTCCAGCTAAAATGGGACCAACATCCCCTTACCCCTCTCCTCCAATAACGTTGCCCCTCATTCAAGCAGTCGTCAGGCAGGAAATCGCCAGCTTAGGAATTTACTCTATTTCACCACCTCCCTGCACTGACTTCCAGCCCCAATACACGCCTGCACGTCCCTTCCCGACTGGCTGTCCCTCAACGTTCGGTAATCCATCTGCTTGGCGAACACAGGATGACAAGCCGATCTGCGTCTCGTGTCGCCGAATCGGGCACATTTCTCGCCATTTTAGAAGTTGCTGGGGTCCTCCTGCACAAGCTTCTTCTAGTACCTTTTATGCATGTCCCCCCTATCATCATGAGACAAGCCGCGACCATTTTGCCCAGGAAGCTGCTACTGAACACCGCTACTCCCGCTCTCCATCCTCCCAACATCGCCAGTCTCGTTCTCCATTGCCCCGCCGACCATCTTTCCCCACCTTCCCACGAGGTTCCCTGACGGAAAACTACGTGTTGCGGAGGTGGCGCTGCATCGCTCGGACTGACAGAAAATCCTCTCTTGACGATACAGACAAAACGGAACCTTATAGACATACAAGTAGACGGCGTACATGTCCCTGCTTTTGTCGACACCGGTGCTCAACTTTCCGTGATGACGAGTGATTTTCGCTGCAAGCTCAAGAAGGTTCTGACACCTGTGACCGCTCAGTTCGTCCGTGTTGCGGATTGCGGAATAGCATCTATCGTTGGAATGTGCTCCGCTCATGTAAGCAATGCGGATCGACACACAGTTTTTCTCTTTACTGTCCTTCATAAATGCCCCCACGACGTAATCTTAGGCCTCGACTTCCTGTCTGCGCATTCTGCCCTCATAGACTGTTCGACCAGTATGCTCCGTCTACATTTGCCTTTAACAGAACCTGTTGCACAACGGCCGAGTCGCCTCTGCACAACGGGACATACGCGCCTTTCTCTACAGACACTGACCTACGTAGAGCTCCTCTCAATACCACCAGTTCTCGACGGTGACTATGTTCTGACCCCTACCACAGATGTCCTCATAAGCCGTGGCATTACATTACCGCACACCATTCTGTACGTCGCAGGAAGTTCTACGTGCCTCCCAGTTGTCAACTTTAGCTTGTCACCTCAAGTTTTGCCACAAGGGATCTCTTTGGCGTTGCTCTGCACCTTAGAAGACAATGCGGTAGATGTTTTCGCGATGGCCGCCCCTTCTGACCCCCACGCTCAACATCAATCTGCCACTTGCTCCGACAGCGCAATCATCTCGATGATCGCTTCTAACTTAACGCCGCAGCAGACTGACGAGCTTCACCGAGTTCTGCTGTCTTACATTTACATCTACGTTTTTGACCTCAGTGGCCGTCTGTTGGGGGAAGCTACTGGTATAACCCACCGCGTAAACAGTGGTAATGAGCATCCTATTCATAGGCGTCCATATCGAGTGTCGGCGGCCGAGCGTCACATTATCCAAAGTGAGATCGACAAAATGCTCGCCAAGGACATCACTGAGCCATCCTGCAGTTCTTGGGCTCCTCCTGTAGCGCTAGTCAACAAGAAAGACGGTGCATGTTGTTTCTGTGTTGATTATCGACACCTAAACAAAATTACCAATAAGGATGTGTACCCTCTGCTACGAATAGATAATGCCCTTATGATAGGGCATTATCTATTCCCATAGAGGC